TTTGTAATATGACTTGAAAATAAAAGGATGAGCAGTACTGTATTAGAAGGTCTTACAACAGGGTCACTATAACACACTATAGTATTTGATATGAAGATACCTTCCTAACAACATTATTTACAGTGGGGTATGCTATAACAAACGGATCCTACTATGAATATTCCTATTACGAACGGTTTTACCTATAAAATTGAGAATGCTATAACGAACGAAACTCCTACAACGAACATTATTTAAAAAAATTTTTTTTTTTACTAATTTATTGTTTTTTTATTAAAAGTATTAATGATATGCTTTATTTCAGGGGTCTAGATGCATATTTATGCACTTTTTTACAATTTTTATAATTTTATATTATATTTTTCAGTGTTAAGTGGTTGTATTTAGGGGCCTGGAACGGATTAATCCTATAACGAACGAATGCTATAACGAACAAGGTTCTAGAACAAATTAGATTCATTATAGCATACCCCACTGTACTACCTTTGAGTGAGACATGTTGACTCAATTTGGCTACTTGTACACTTAGACAACTGATTAATGAATAAACCAGGGTGCATGCAGATACATAATACACTTGTACAGTAAGTCCTCGTATAACGTCGCCCCCGCTTAATGTTGTTTTGGTACAACGTCGCTACTCTTTAGGTACCCAAAGAATTCTGTTTCATTTTTTTATTGTTGATGTAATGTTCTTTTAATAACCTTGTTGTTATACACTTAAAGACCTTAGTTGTTGAAGTGCAGTAATAACATGACAACAACTGATTTTCTTTAACAGTTCAGATAAACAGTTTTATCTCACCCCCACATATACAGTACAGTCGGCCTTTAACATATGCGGGGGTTACGTAGTAGAGATACCCGTGGATGTTAAAAATCCGTGTATTTTTGCTGCCCCCAAAAAAAAAACCCTGGCCCCCCATGTCCTTATTTACGTATATACCTGTGTGTAGTTCGAGTTTTTAAGACCAAATTATTTGGCAAAAAATTGGGGGTCGACCTCTAAACGGGTAATAGTTTCGTTAGGTTGAAAAATATTTACCTATTAACTACCAGTAAACAATGGAAACGAGTAGCACAGGACAATGTAAAACGTATTCATTTATTAAAGTTTATTTATAGATACTGTACATTTTTGTTCATTACAGAAACATCAATCTGTGACGATGTATTTTCATTAAAATATTACATCAAGTATATTTTACCTTAACTGTACTGAATGAATATGTATTCTCAGAAATAAATATGGAAATATAATATTTTTGCTGGAATGACGTACATATTACAGTGGAAAGTGGGATAAAATCATCAATGACTTTGCTTTCTTTCGTCGAAAGATTTTACCGTAATCGCTTTTTGAATGGTTTTCAGTTAAAAAACTGTTATACTCGTACTGTATTACAATAATATTCTATCCTATCATTAGCCTTATAATCCCACAACTGAAAACCATTCGAAAAGTGATTACGGTAACATCTTTTGAACGAAAGAAAGAGAAAGTCATTGCTTTCGTCACAATTTTATCACCACTCCTCCCAACTCGCTCCCTCCGCTCCCTCCTCCGCCTCCTCCACCTCCTCACCTTCACTACTACCGACAACAAACACAAATGTTTTGTGAATAACTGCACCTCCACTTCCTATGTACAGTACTGAACTGTACTGTGCATTTTTACAAACAATAAACATGGCAAGAAAAGCTATTAAAAAAAAAAGAGATAAAAATTTCACTTTACTGTACAGTACCTATCCTCGGTGACAGGATGGGGGTCATCGGGCTCATCGTCACTCAATTCCATAACGGGTGGTGAAGTGGGGGCAACGGTGGATTCAGTTGCTTCCTCACTGCCGCCAGTAATTGATGGTGTTAAATCTCTCCTTCGGTGATCAATGAACATGGTGATGGGGAGTTGTCGTCTCTTTCTTTTCATTTCTTCCATGATGTTTTTGTATGGAGCAAAAATGTCATCCATCCCTCGCATGAATTTCAGGGCACGCACCATGGAGGGGTCCATACTATAGGCCAAGTTTTTCAGTGCCTCAATATTCCTGGTCATCTCCCCCCAACTTCTCCAATGTTATTTCTTGGTGCTCTTCCTCTTCCTCTTTCCCTTTCGCTTCCTCTTCCTCTTCCTTGCCTGAGTCTACTAACTCCTGTAGATCCTCCTCGGTCAGCTCAGTGTCGTGCTCTTCAATTAGCTCCCTAATCTCGTCCTCTGCCATGTCCTGGAAGCCTTCAGCAGCCACTTTCCTTGACAGTGCCAGGGTCTTTCTGAATATTTTCATTAAAATCCATCAAAATCATTTTCCTTGTCATCGTCTTAAGCACCAAACAGCTCCTCCCAGTCTTCTCCTTGAACAGGGCTAGAGGGTACGTGTTTTTCGAATCGTTTTCAATTAAAAAAATGTTACAGCACATGTATATTTTACCTAAACTGTGCCTGAATGAATATATTCTCAGAAATAAATAGTAGTTTTGCTGAAATGTGATGTATTTCAATGTAAAATAGGATAAAATACATGACGAAAACAAAAGACTTTACCTAACCTTCTGATGTTCAAGAGATGTTACTCGTTTTTTTAATAGTTTTCAGTTAAAATACTGTTATATTACAATGATATTCTATTCATACTGTGCTTGATATACTACATTCACAGAAATGTAATTTTTTTGCTAAAATGACGTACTTATTACAGTGGAAAGTGGGATAAAATCATGACGAAAACAATGACTTTCGCTTTCTTCCGTTCAAAAGATGTTACCGTAATTGTTTTCGAATGGTTTTCAGTTAAAAAAACCGTTGCATCACAAGTGAATTAGGATAGAATATTATTGTACTACAACAGTTTTTTTTAACTAAAAACCATTCGAAAAGCGATTACGGTAACATCTTTTGAACAAAAGAAAGCGAAAGTCATTGCTTTCGTCACTTTCCACTGTAATACGTACGTCATTTCAGCAAAATATTACATTTCCATATTCTCATAAATAAATTGTAGTTTTGCTGAAACGTAATGCATTTCAATGTAAATTAGGATAAACTACATGAAAACAAAAGACTTTACCTAACCTTCCAATGTTCAAGATATGTTACTCGTTTTTTTAATAGTTTTCGGTTAAAATACTGTTATATTAGTGATATTCTATTCATACTGTGCTTGATATAATACATTCACGGAAATGTAATATTTTTGCAACTACAATGCTGATATCAACACAAGCGTGGTTACAGCGAGACTGACTGACTGAGTGAGGGAGAGCTATGCGTGTGTGTGTGAGGTTGCGGGAGCGGGCGGTGTCCCGTGTTCGGTGCCGCATGCGAGTTGAATGGCGCGCGATTTGAATGTACTTCAATTACTTCAATGTACAGAATATTACTCCGGCGGGGCAGTCCGCGTATTTGCAAATCCATGTATGCTAAACCCGCGTATGTTAAGGGCCGACTGTATTCACTTTTTTCAGACTTTCACTTTTTTCAGACGGGTCTGCCCCAATTAGTTCGATTTCTTGAGGTTCTACTGTAGTTTTGCACTTATAATTTCTATCATCAATTTCAATTGTTTAATCCTTTTACTATCATCTTTTTTTTTTTTTTTTTTTTACGGGTATTAGCCCACCCGGACACAGGTCACCGACCCACATCAGGGCCCAGGGGGCGAAAACATAATAACAATAACAATAATAATAATAATAATAATAATATTTCAGATAAGTAAAATTTATAATAAAAAAATAAAAAAAAAATAATAACAATAATAATAATGAAAACACTGCAATAATAATAATAATAATAAGGAACCATAAAGAAATTAAAAAAAAGATCATCAGTGAGAAACGATATATGTATGTTGTGTTGTCAGCAGCAAGAGAAACAATTGAGACCCTCAATTGTGTGTAAATGAGGCAGAAAGTCAGATCACCAACCTGGGACTTGGTCACAATTTTTGCAATGCCATATGGCAGCAGGGTCTACCATTCGACAACACATTATCTACTGTAATACATTTCTAATTTTTATATCACTATTTTATTGAATCATTTGATTGATATAAGTACTGCAATGTAAAGTAAAAGAAAAAATGTGGCAACTTTGCTGCGTAGCGGCCAGCTGCACGGATTGTAATTGAAGAAGTTACTTTGCTTCTACATAAATATTTATGGCACTTGATGCAGCTACTGATTTTATTATTTTTGAGCATACAAAATGAAAATAATATAATGTATGCTTTTATTTATTATAAATACCAAAATTCTAGTGTATCAAGTCCCATAAACATTTGTAAATAGGGCAATTAGGCACATGCGACCCAGCCAGCGCAGACATTAACACCATCGCTCCACACCCCTGACAGACAGACATTTATTGAGTTATATGCCTGAAAGGTATTAACCTGCAGCTAGTCTTTAATGTTCAAGTACGTGATCACCGATGTTACTATCTCTGGTCATTCACGTACTAGAACATTTTCTAAATATACTTTTCCCGTGTCTTTGAAACTGAGTTTAGCTACCATAATCTGTTGGCTGGTGGTGTCTTGCATCTTGTGTAAATGTTTCCTGAGTGCTGATGCCGTGAAATCAATTGCATTTTGATATTCCAGATATTTAACATTATTTTAGAGAATAACAGGTCTGCTTACCAATTGTGAACATAATTAGTATGAATAAATGGACAGCTACACAAACATTTTCTTTGAACCAATTAGCTATTTTTATAGAAGAGGGGCGTGGCTTATGGGCCAAGTTAGCGTGGAAACACTATAGTTGTAGAGAATATCTACTAAAACTTTTGAGAAGTAGGACACAAAAGACTCACATTTGGTCAAGCTGCATAAAATGGAATTCCATGTCTCAATCCCTCATTCACAGTTTTTTAATTGTATATTGTATTGCAGTGAAAGGAGATTACCAAGTAAAAGTAGGAAAATAAGATAAGGAAAAGTAATGATGTGGTGTGATGGCTTATTGTTTAACCTCTGTTCTCTTTTTTGTTGCAGTGTTCAGCATGGTGTTGTCTGGTGCTGCAGCATTTGGTGTGTATTTTGTGAAGACTGCAACTGATAACCTCATTCTCGCCTGTGTGTTTGGGGCTGTTAGTACCATGGGCTTCAATGCTCTTGATTGCCTTGGTGCGGAATTGTTTCCTACACATCTACGGTATGTTTTAAGAAATAGATTTGTGCTATATTCGAACATAACACTTGGGTACTATAAACTAGGATATAAATACCCTTAGGGGGTGTAGCAGTTAAGTGGATACAGGTAGTTCTGCTATAACGCGATAATTGTGTTCTTGTAAAATATCGTGTTATAGAAAATCGCGTAATAGAAATAACAGGGCTTATGGAGAAAATAGGGTTAGGTGCAGATTACTCGAAATCGAAAAAATTTAGTAGTTAGCCTAACACAAAGGATAGCACAGTCTAAATAAATGTTACATTCATATCTAATAATGAAATCATACAGTAAATGTAACACTTTACCTTGAAAAAATATGAATGTAACTTGATGGGGGAGAAGGGTGATTTTGAGGTTGATAACATCGAGCTTCTCTTCAAGTGTTATATCCTTTCTTTTACGATCATCGCCGGGAATTCTATCACCAGAACGCTTCTTGGATATTCTTCTTTACCATATTCACAGTTAATACCACAAAATTGGAGAAATAGTCAGCAAAAATCGCGTTATAGCAAACAAGCGTTCGCATTATACAAATATCGTTCCTAATTCATAAATCGCGTTAGAGCAAATTCGCGTTATCAAAACACGCATTATAGCAGAACTCACTGTACTGTGCTTGCCTCCTGTCATCAGGATTATTGGTTGATGCCCAAGGTATCCCAGCTTACCCAACTGTGAATAGGTATTTGTACACCACCGATTTTCCGGGAACTGATGGTCCGGCACCTCTACTGTAGTCCGGACAAAATTATGAGGGGGCACTTAACTTCTTTCCCTCCCTCCCTCCTAGCCAGGGTGAAGCTAGTTTTAGGCTTAAAGTTTTTATCTTATAAAATTTAGCTGACTAGTACTTAGCAGAATATAAATTGCATTGCTGGAATCCTTGTAAGATATTGATTAATTTGAGTATAAACATCACATAGTTTGCACAAGACATAAATTTTTTTGTCTAGTGTAGTACATTTCAGTACAAAGTGTTTACAGTAATGTTGCTCAAAATTATGGCTTTTTCACATTTAATTTACCTTTAATATTTGTTTAATTTAAGTTTCTAGTAGTCCATGGTGCTTTAGAGACACAGGAGGTGTATAATTAGTGGATCAGAGGTGTATTGTTGAATTATTATTACCTGATCTCATTGGTCCGGCAAAATGGATCATCCGGCAAGGCTTTGGGGCTAAGGGAGCTGAAAATTGGTAGTGGACCTGTATTTAACTTCACAGTTAGGGAAAGAGACAATGCTTTAGTGGTACCTGTACTTTTATGCAGCACAATTATACAGATCTGTTGGACGTGGTAGTCTGCCACTGAAACATGTCAAGCCCTCTGACCATAGTAGAGGGTATTCTGTTAGAGGTCTCTCACCTTTTACTAATTTCTTTCACTTACCTACACAGTACAGTGATCCCTCAGTTAACGAGATTTCTGTTAACGAGTTACCTTCCATAAGATTCTTAACTTCGGTTAACGAGCAATCCTTCGATTAACAAGTTTCTTACGAGCGGCCCCTCAACATGTTTTCGCTTGCATTTGGCGGTCCACCAGCTGTAGTATTTGTCCACCAATACAGTAATCGGTTCTAGGGCTTAAATTCCTTACTATTTTTGTAAATATTAAGAAGTTTATACTATTCAATAATTTTAAAAGTTTAATATTAAATTTTTTAGTCATTTTAATAATTATTGAACATAATTGAAATACAGGAAACTAGTTTTATGCATGCCAAACAGCCTGTCAACACACCAAACAGGCGTCAGTCTTGGTGTCTTTTCAGTGGAGGTAACATCTTGCTTGAGACTCTCTTCAACTAAATGCTTTTTTCTGTGTTTCCAAGCAAATTATTGGTCATTTTGAAATTTATTTTACATATTGACAATATATAGCGCAGTGCAATTTGAAGAAAATATTCTTTATTTACAGCAATTAAACTTAAAATATCACGTGTTGAGATTGTGTTTGAATCCAGCATGGGTCCCAAGAGATCAAGAAAAGCGATTTCAATCCAAGTTAAGCAGGAAATTATTAAAAAACATGAAGAAGGCATTAGAACAAATGCGCTGTGCAAAGAATATGGCATGTCGACATCAACTGTGTTGACAATTCTTGCACAGAAAGAAAAATTTAAAGAAGTGAAAGTGGGAGACAAATCTACCAGAGTGTTTAAAGGTAGATCCCTAATTGCAGAAACAGAGAGGTTACTTCTCATCTGGATTAGGTAAAAACAGATGAAAGGTGATTCAGTTTCTACTGAATTTATTTGTGAAAGAGCCAGGGAGATTTACGAACATTTAAAGACAGATCAACCTGGTTCTTCAGGCACAGAATTTGAAAATTTTCGGGCCAGCAAAGGCTGGTTCGAAAAATTTAAGAAAAGAAGTGACATTTTTAGTGTAGTTAGGCATGGTGAGGCTGCTAGTGCTGATAAGGAAGGGGCAGCATAGTTTTTAGTGGAGTTTGAAGAACTGATGGATGAAGAAAATTATCTTCTACAGCAAGTGTTCACTGTGTACGAAACTGGGCTGTTTTGGAAAAAGATGCCCAAAAGAACATTCATCACCAGAGATGAAGCCTCTTTACATGGGCATAAACCCATGAAAGACCGTCTCACTCTATTGCTTGGTGCCAATGCTTCAGGGGATTTCCAACTGAAGCCTATGCTTGTCTACCACTCTGAGAACCCCAGGGTGTTCAAGCAACAAAAAGTTGTAAGAGGACGGCTTGGAGTTTATTGGAAATCCAACCGTAAGGCATGGGTAACAAGACAGCTCTTTAATGAATGGGCTGTTGAGGTGTGCCCTTCTGTGAAGAGCTACCTAACCACCAATAAACTCCCTTTAAAGGCTCTTCTCCTCCTGGTCATGACCCTCAACTTGACAGAACTTTGGAGTCTCAATTTGACTTTGTCAAATGTTGTTTTTGCCTCCCAACACTACATTAATCATACAGCCAATGGACCAGAATGTGATCAGCAACTTCAAGAAGTTGTACATGAAGAAAATGTTCAGGAGGTGTCATCAGGCAACTTTCACTGATCCTGAACTAACACTGGCACAGTTCTGGAAGACACAGTTTAACATCCTGGAGGCTGTAAAATTGATTGTGTCCTCATGGCATGAAGTCTCCTCTAGATCCCTCAATTCTTCATGGAAAGCACTGTGGCCATCAGTAGTCCATGATTTTGAGGGATTTGAGGATGAAACAGAGTTGCACCAGGAGATTGTGTCCATTGGTCAGTCATTGGTCCTTGAAGTGGAGGAGGATGATGTGGAAGAGCTTGTGATGTCTCATGAACAGGAACTTACTCCTGAAGACTTGCAGCAACTAGATGAGATGTTAGAGGCTGACAATGGTGAAGAGGAAAAGGAAAGTGATGACCATATGTCAACTTCAGAGTTGAAAGATGTTATTCACTATTGGGAGAAGTTTAGGAAACTGGCTTCAAGGTACCCAGATGTGGAAAAATCTGAACTAACTTTGTGTCATGTTGAGGACACAATGGTCTCCTTCTTTAAACATGAGTTAATGATGAGGAGGACAGATGCCCCACAGACCAAAATTGACACTTTCTTCAGTAAAAGGCAGAGGGAACAAGATGCTAACCCTCAGCCTTCCACTTCAAGAAGGAGAGAGGATGTTCATGGTGGAGAATCTGTCAGTCCAGAGGTTCCTGACATTTTCATGGAAAGTGACTCACCGTCTAAGAAGCAGTAAAATGCTTCTCCTCCACCTCCACTTCCTTCTCTTCTCCCTTCTCCTCCTGCACCTCCCACTTCAAATTCACATCAGCATCATCATCCAGGAGCCTTCTACATACACACCTCAAAGTAAGTGTACTTTACTACCTTTTTTGTTGAATTTAGGCAATTTTCGGTGAGCTGGAACCAATTACCCAAAACCCATTGAAACAATGGTTTCGGTTAACGAATTTTTCGGTTAATGAGCAACCTTCTGGAACGAATTGTGCTCGTTAACCGAGGGACCACTGTACAGTACTGTGGAAATTTGAGTCAAATGCTCCATCTTTTCTTTATTCCTCCATGGAAATGTTTCACAACTTGATGAGGATTTTAAGTACCCAGTATGTAACACTCCTACCTTTTTTTTGGTCTACTTGAAAGATTTGTTTTTTCTTTGGTAAGCTGTAATTTAATTATATAAATTCATTTCCTAGTTTAAAATATACTGTAATTATTTTTTTGTGTTTTTTTGGACATACCTGTAATGCATTTTATTTTTTTCTGATGTATTTCTTACTAAGCCAGTTTGCCACTCGCTTCATAGGTGGATCAGCTATGAAAAGAGTAGCATTTTTCTTTTTATTCGACTAAAAACTATGTCCTGGCTAACCCCTAGGTGGTTATAATAAGTGACTATCATATGTACACCAGCGTATGCTGGGAAAAATGTCATTTGTGTATTTTAAATTATGCTGTCATACACTGTGTTAAATTAAACTTTTTTGTAGACCGCGTAATTATTTTTTTATTTTTTTCTACGACAGGTCAACAGCATTGGCAGTCACCTTGCTGTCTGCTCGCATAGGAGCAATAGCAGGCAATATTGTATTTGGCTACCTGGTGGATGTCTACTGTGCTATTCCAATATTTATGGTCGCAGCCCTGTTAGTGTGTAAGTAATATGAAAACATTAACATGTAATGGCAAATTAGTTTAAGTGGGAGTCCATTTTTATGGCCTACAGATCAGTCAGCAAGTCTCCTTCAAGCAGTGGTGTAGTCAAGACCATGAATGAAACCTTTTGTGAATGTAGCCTCTGTGAATTACCTGGAGATTAGCCCTCCCACATAGTTTCAGGGTGGTAAAACTTTAAACTAAGGCTGAAGCTTCAGATGAGCACTTGGAGAGCTTATCTTCAGGTGATCCATAAAGGCTAAAGTTGTAAATGGTCTCATTCGACTTTTGTTTGTAGCCTCAACTACATCACTGACCCATGACAGAGCCTGCCTTGTCCAATGGGTGTCCAGCTGTAAAAAAAGTTTCAAGTTTGCCTGACAGCAACTATATAAGGATGGAAAACAAAACATCCATAAAACAATGAAGGCAATAATGCAGAGTTGTCAGGCTCATGCAAATCTTTGATTATTAGCATTCAGTAAGGGTTCTCACCCTTTACTCCTTTGTCCTGAAAGGTAGCTCTTACATCTTTGAATTTCCCACAAATGTCTTTAATATGTCTGTTCTGTGTAATTAGAATATATTCACCTCTCTTTTAATTTTCATGATCTCATTCAGGTCCAAATCACTGATACAAGTCAATACTTTCTTGGGATAGAATTGACAAGGAAAATCAGAATATAGTTATCCAGAATCCCTGATCCCCAGAACTCTCCAATAGTTGGAGTGGAAATTGGCTCTCCCCCTACCATGCCAAGCTGTATTTTCGGGTAGATCAGTAATATCTCCATTAGCCGGAATCCCTCAAACCCGGAACTTTCCAAGAGCTGAAATTGAAATTTTTTCAGAACAATTTTCCAAAGGGCACGTTTTCCTGAAAATTATGAGGAAATTTTCCCGATACCCAGAAAATTCCAGGGATGGGCAATATTTTTTCAGGTTCAAGAGATGATGTAATGGGCAATTTCTGGAACTTCCAAGAACATTTTTCTGTTGCCCGGAAAATTCCGGGAGTGAGAATTTTTTCCGACTTTGAGAGAGTCGTCTCGTTACCCGGAAATCTCTCATTCCCGAAAGTGCTCTGCACCAAGTGTTCCGGCTAACAGAGATATGACTTGTATATGTAATTTTATTCATTAAATTATTTTTATTTATTTATTTTTTTTTTACTGTTACATGCTCACACAATGTTTATACAGAATGTGTAAAAAAGTATATAAAAGAAATGGTTATCATAAGGTCAAAAACATAGAAAAAACATTTCTTACGTCTACAGGAGTTAAGTGTCGCATCGTGGGAGGGGGAGGGGAAGGGGTGGGTGGGAGGGGGGAGTGGTGTCAGGGATCTCAGCCTCTCCCTACCAGACCAAGCTATGGGAGTCAGCCCATGATCGTGGGCCAAGTCCTTAGTGAAACGATTGTCAAATGGCAATGCAATATTTTTTCTTCTATTTATTAGTATTATTTTTATTCATTCCTCACATTTACGGAGAAATACTGTACATTAGACTGCGGAGGGATAAAGTCCCCACACTAATCGGCAGATACTGTACTCGAAATTCAATGCCGTGGGTGGTAAAATAGTATGCAGAGTACAAACCGTAGATGCCTAGAATCCACATTTGGCGAGAGTCTACTGTACAGTTTATGAAAAAAGTTTTATATACAGTAGACTCGCAACTTGCATGAGAGTTACGTTCCTGGGACTTCGCGTAAAGTCACAAACACTCCTAAATCGCCCTTAAATCAATATATATACAACTACACACTTACGACGGGGTTAGGGACCCGAATCCAGGTCGTAAGTCCGACATAGATAAAAAATCTACAATGAAATACAGTACAGTACATTGATGTTGTCGTCATACATCTGGTCATATGGCTTCATAAATTTCGACAGAAGGTTATTAGACACTTCATACCGATGATTAACTGTGTCTTTGTCAAGGATGTTCTTGATTTTCTCCGCCAACTCGATGACTTCCTTCACATAACCATGGCTTGGTCCAGGTAGTTCAAGGTTTCTCGGGGGTGGTGGGGGTCCAGCGGAAGCCATTGGGAGGAGAATAGCAGGCACAAGAGAGAACTGTATACGCGGACTGAGAACAATGAGACTGGCCTGGCTAGGTCAGCGACTTCTTCCCTCTGGTGACAGGGCACGTCATGTTACATTAGATCAATCACATCTAGCGGCAGAGGGAGGTAAGGATGCTTGGCCCAATCACAGTCCGATATGTCATATGACGTCAGCGATAACGTAAGAGCGACCTAATGCGCATCCTTCCCACGTCTTGATAACTACGCACTTTGTTATCTCCCCTCCCTGACAACTGTCAACACGTAAGGAGGTGGATATGATGTGGAAGTGTAGTGAAGATTGTTTGGGTCTATAGTGGAGATGGAGATGATGTGAATATGATGTGGATGTGTAGTGAAAATTTTGGGTGTGTAGTGAAGATGATGTGGATGTGTAATGAAGATAATGTGGAATGTTCAGTGGAAATGTAATGAAGATGATATGGGTGTGTAGTGGAGATGATGTTGGTGTGTAATGGAGATGATATGGATATCCATATGGATGTAATGTCGTTTTTATTACTAAATGATTCAATAAATAAGTTTTTAAAGGTTGACCAAATAAATATTAAATAAAGCCGATAAGTTGATGAAAAATGTATTTCCCCTCTCCGTCAGTAAGTGTCACCATGAGCTGTGCGTCATCTGGTGGAGGTAAGGTGGGGGATTAATGGGTCTCGTGACCTAAAGATGTCTTAAATAAAGATGAAAACTAAGGTGCTCTTGGTGTTTCCCAATTCCTGTTCAATATGTGCAAAATATTGATGAGTTGTGCATTTTGGGATGTGGAGGCATTTCCAAAGCGTCCCATGTTGGCGATGGCAGCTATTTTGTTGCCGCAATTAGAGAAAACCCTAATTTCTATCCTAGCTTTGCTACTATACAGGATGACATGACAATATTGGCTTTTGTACCCCTATTTTGGTGGCCACTTTTTACTGTGGTGTCATTTAGAACAACATCAGGTGTATAGAAGCCCTTCAGTAAGGAAAAGGAGACAACCAATACTGAAACACATAATTTAATCCACATCTTTTTAACCACCAATTGTTGCGGCTAACAGGGATACCACTGTATACTGCTTCTACACTGAAAAGCGTTTGGGAGTTAATATTTTTCTTGTTTCTTTTCAGCTGGTGGCCTTCTTGGAATAATTCTCCCCAACACAACAAGAAAGGCATTAACCTGAGACAACATCACCATACTTTTAAACATCTCGAAACAACTAGCTTATCAGAAGTGGAAATGCAGAGGCTTGTTTGGTTGCTAAATCATTATGGACAGTGGGAATGCTATCCAGTATACATATATAATCTTACACAGTTCTGCTTATACTGTATCAGTTCTTATTTAATGGTAAATGTTATGGTAATACCTCGAATATTCTGTCATTAGCACTTACACGTTAGTATTTACTTTTACATATGTTCTTGAATGATTTTCTCTATCCTGTATGCTCTTTAAAATTTATGACGCTACTTAGGATTCAGGCATATGTCACAGGAGTCAAGAATGAGCTTTTATAAACAGTTCAATTTAATTCTTACTGGACTTACCCCACAACAGTTGCAGTCAAAGTAACAGCAAATTGCCACAGTATCCCCATCTGCATAGGGCTTTATTATCTTTAAGTTTGAATAGGTGCAGGGATCAAAATGTTTTGAGAAATTTCTCCACAAGCCAAATATACATTAAAGTGGTCCCTTGGTTAACGAACACAATTCGTTCTAGAAGGTCGTTCGTTAACCGAATCCGTTGTTTCAATGGGATATTGGGTAATTGGTTCCAGCTCACCTAAAATTACATACAAAGTAAAAAAAAATGCAGTAAAGTACACTTACTTTGAGGTGTGTATGTAGAAGGCTCCTGGTTGATGATGATGATGGGAATTAGAAGTGGGGGTGGAGGAGAAGGGAGAAGAGAAGGAAGAGGGGATGGAAGAGAAATCACCCCGTGCTTGATGCCGTCATTTCACCAATAAAATTTTAAGTTCACTAGGTGTAAATCAAGATTATTTTCTTTAAATCAACACTGCACTGCACTATATATTGTCAATATGTTAAATAAATTTCAGAATGACCAATAATTGTACTGTAAAATCGTAAAAATACTCTGTGTTCAAGAGACCCACAAGCAAGATGTTTCCTCCACTGAACAGAGACACAAACTGATGCCTTGGTGGGTGAGTGAAGTGGCTGATGGGAGCACCAAAAACTAGTTCCCTGTACTGCAATTATGTTAAGTGTTAAAACGACTACAATAGGCTCTCACCAATAACGTCTAATAGGTGCCTGAAAAACACAGTTATTAGCGAAAATGTTATTTGTGTGACATTAAAATACATGTAAAAAGGGTTTATTGGTGCTGCCGCCACAAGAATTTCACCCATTTTTTCCCCTTAGAAGCCCTCCTAACACTTTTTGTTAGCTGAAATAAAAAGAATTGTTATTCAATCATCAAAATCAAGAGTTTGAGTAACATAACACTTAGCTTGGGGGAGTTTTTGAGGTGCTTGGCGTGATGGTTGTTCCGTATCTGAGGGCCGCTAACACTTGCACTGTCTTTCATTCTACAAGCTAACCATTTCACAAGAAAATGCTGTTATCACTAACAACCTGCTTCTATCGCCTTTATCATTCATAGCTTGCCTCGCATTTCCATCACTATCGAAATATTTTTAGCCAGCGCAATACTCTTCTTGGTCTCCTCTAAGTTCCTCTTAAAATTTCGCACTGTAGACTCAGGACAGTTCAATTTCCTCACTTTAAAAGTTCCTGGGCATTCAGGTGGCAAATCACTCCCTCCACCACCTCCCCTAGCCCCCACAGGCAAAAATGCGGAAGCCATTATTGATCACCGACCCTAACAACCACTGGTTATAGAGGCGAAAATCTCACACGTGGGCGCAGCGTTGTATTCCACGGAGCGTGTGTGAGAGTGAGGCGGAGCGGACATCATCAACATAGCAGCAAACAAATGCTATCATTGATGCGCTCGGACGCTTCCCACGAAATCTCGTTTTTCAAGAGAATCCAGACGTTATTATCAAAAATGGGTATCTATTGTAACTTACCGTTATTGTTGAAAACGTTATTGTGGAAGTCGTTATTGGTGAGAGCCTACTGTAATAATTTTAATATAAAACTTGAAAAAATATTGAATAACACAACCTTCTTGATATTTACTCCAATGGAAACGAATATAAGCCCTAGAACCGATTACTGTATAGGCGGACTAATCTTCCAGCTGGTGAGCAAGCCAAAACATATTGACATGTTTTCGTAAGAATTTCGTTAACCGAATTGAAGATTCTTATGGAAGGTAATTCGTTAACTGAGGCGTTCGTTAACCGAGGGACCACTGTGTTTTATATGCCATTCCAGTTACTAGGTATAGTGAAATATATATATATTTATGCATGCATGTGTGTGCGTGTTTTTTTTTAGGGGAGGTCGAAGAATGACATTGGAGTCAGGCCATGCTAAATCACAATTTTCTACCATGCCTTGTTGGGATATACCTACCAGGCATGGGAACAAAGCCGAAACCATTGGATTTTCACAAATCCAAAGGCAAATCCAAACATTAAATGGTAATGAAACCAAAACTGAAGCCAAGGCTTTCTGAAACCTTAACACCATTATTTATATAATATACTGTATTACTGTATAATGTTGATGGGAATATGTTTGGTATTCTAAGTTGCAGCAAAGCCTTGAGATAAACTAACTTTATTTTAAGCTGATTGTTTTGGGGGTAAGTTTTGACTCCTTATAAGCTGAAAAAGGTTGCTTATAGTAACAATTTATCTTACTATATTTATTTTATCCAAAATACACAAACATCATAATTTACAGGAATCATCATAAGATTTTAAATGGTACAAAGCAAGCTAATGTCAGTCACAACCGTTTGGTTTCTTTGATCTCTACTATCGGTTAGGTCAGGTCCTTGTGAGAATGGCCAGTAGGGATAACTTTTTATGTCAGTGTGGGTCTCAGTTCATGTAAAGTCAGATCATGTCATGTGACCAACTCGCATTTTACCTGTTTCATTTTAAGTTTACCCTCCCTGGGGTGAAGATTCTGATCTGTTTGACCCGTGACAATATGTTCTCATGACGGCACTGGTCATCGACATGCTGGACAGTAATTTTGGCACCAAAACAACATATTTTTTCCATTGGTGGTGAGAATGATAACATGTGCACACCTCGCAATTGAAGGTGATGTTGAATTTTATATTCAGTATTGTTTGTTTTTTTATCATCAGTTAATCAGTCCAAGTACTGTACCTTCAAACATCCCAGCCAGGAACATAACCCCCTCTTATATAATGTTTATGGCATGTTTGAGGCTATATGGGCCATAACTTCATATGCACTAAAAAAGAAAAATGCCAGAAAATTGGTTAAAGTTTTGGAAAATGGAACTCACTATATCTCTTGAACTAATTGTGATAATGCAAACATTCTTGTAACAAATTGAAGCTTATATATACTACTCTGGATTATGTTGTCATAATCAGATAATAGCAATCTTGATATGATTATTAGTAATCATGAAAATTATCCTAACATTAGCAATTTAGAAGCATTATATTTTGTTTAAATTTGAATATTTTGATGTAGGATAATTATGTACAGTTGCCCACAGGTATAGTGGTCCTGACCTTAGTGGCTTTTCCGAACATGTGGTATCATTGGAAATTGGAATCAGTCAAACCTTCTTTACTGATATTGCTTAGCACAAATCTTGAGTACAGTACAGTACAAATATTAATGAAAAAAATATATTGTTGGCCACTTGTTTCAAAAGGTCATCTAGGAGTGGAACATGATACCTTTAGGCCACTGTACATCATAACTAATCTTATTCAGAACTGAAAATGTCCAAGAGGTTATAGTAATCACCATAATAAACACCTTAACTGCATTTTCTGGTATGAAATTGATGTACAGTCCACAAAAAAGTATCAATTAAATCTGCCCTAACAATGGTGCAATCTGCCACTTGAATCATTCCAATATCTTCAGTTTCCAAAGTTATGGTAATTTGAAGGTTTGTAAACTTTAACTGCATTTTTCTCTGTTCAGGAGGTCCTCAGGTTACGTACCTCCGACTTACGAACACCCGGCGATATGAACAAGGTTAAACTTTTAAATTTACCATATTTTATTTACTTGAATTATTTTTTACTTTATTTATTGTGTATTTTTTTCATTCTATTTCAACTTTTCTCTTAAATTAAGTGGTTTTAGATGTATATAAGGACTTAGGCTATGATAAAGTGGGATTTTAAACATTGTTCTGCAAGTTCAGTATGCACACACAGTACAGTAGTACCCAGTAAAGATTTACGCGGTCAATTGAACCCACAGGGTACCGCGGAAAGTGAAAACCGCGTAAAGTGAACAACAGAACATATGGGATTAATTCCAATAGAGACTGGGCCGACCCCCAAACCCCACTTTTTCCGACACAATACCTATGTTGTAGTAAAAATAACATCTTAATTTTATGATGGTATGCTCTCACAATTAATATTTAAGAGAAATACAGTCGCCAGGTTAATGTCCATTCAAATAATGGACACAAATTCCCCCCCCCCCCTCTTCCCAGCTCACGAGCTCCTACCTCTCTGAGAAATGTTTGGGTGAAAACACTAGATTTTAACGTTTAGTAATAAATAATACCTCAGACTAAAGTTAGGATAATATAATTGACATTTCTGGATTCCTTGCAGGTCAGGGAATATTTTGAACGTAAACTTCATATATTTTGCACAAACGATAAAATATTTGCTTTGTTTAAACCAAATTATTACATTAGATCTAAAATTTGTATGTCTTATGTAAAATCCATGATGTGTATATTCAAAATGATCATCATATTGTAAGAATTCCAGCAACATAAATTATATTCTGGCCGGGTAATTTGTATGAATTTTACGAGCTAAAAAAAAATATATATATACTTCACTGCGCGTATATGAGTAGATGCACCGCGGAAAGTCCTGTTCTGGCAAGGTACCGTGTAAATGAGAAATCGCGGAAAGTGAAACCGTGTAAAGCGGGGTAATACTGTATGTGATTTGACTAAAGTACATTTTCGATGTAAGAACTTCCATAGGAGTGGAACTCGTATGTAACCCGTGGACTGTCTGTACGGTACAGTATCTCATTTATGGCGCTTATCCGACTTTGGTTCTATGTGCCTCATATAGAACAAATGTCAGTCATTCCAAAGTTTTTCTTCAAAATGTATATGATACATAATAAAGAAGTTGGCAGGCAGATCTCATTTATACTGAGGGTTACCTGTACTGTACTTGTGTAATCATTGTGCATATAAGCCAGACCATAGTTGGTTCTTACATAGGGATGTGAAAATTTCCAGTTATCATACCATTCAAGAGAGAGATATGCAAGATTTGTACAGTTCCAAGTGTTTAGTGTTTGACTTCTTGTTGATTGTACAGTATATATTGCACTTAAAAGTGAAATATTGTATATTTTTTCTCATTAATGGATAAAATCAATGTTGACTTTATAATATACAGTACAATATAGAATTCTTAAAATTAGATTATGATAAATATACAGTACAGTACGTACAGGGAGTCACAGTTTTTAATTTGCTCTCCTTCCTCACAGTTTTTATTTTTCTAATTTAGATGAATGTTATACAGTGAAGAATATATATTTTACATAGTTTATATCAGAAATTTTTATTTTATATATTGAATATCAGACTAGTGAAAAGATACTTTAATTTTGAGAATATTTATTTATTTTAATTTGTGCACCATGATTAAATAAT